GACTAATTATATCTCCTGTTTCTGAGTTAATATTTATCATGGATCTAAGAGGCAAAGGATTACTGTTATCATATAAAAGAGAATAGCTTACCAGACCATTTTGATCAGTGTCGGCATCAAATGCTGTCACTGTTTTAATAACTAATCCTGTTTGACTGTTTTCTTTTATAAAGATGTTGATACTATCTTCTGTGAAATGAGGTTTGTTATCATTAACATCAGAGACATGCACAGGAATCGTGGTGGTGCTGGAGAGAGGTGGGTTGCCCTCATCTCTAGCAGATATTATAATATTGTACTGTGATGCTCTTTCTCTGTCTAGAGGTCCATCCACAACTAAAGAATAGTAATTCTTATAAGTTGACTCCAACCTGAAAGGTACATCATTGGAAATTTTGCAGTTAACTTTTCCATTTTTACTGCTGTCTTTGTCAAAGACAGAAACAAGAGCAATTGCGAGGCCAATGGATGCATCCTCTTTCACTGTGTTCAACAGAGATGTTACTCTAATTTCAGGGGCATTGTCATTTACATCTAAAACTTCAATAAGCAATTTAGCATGTGAGTTTAATGGCGATGAACCTTTATCTTTTGCCTGCACTCGAATCTCAAAAGCATTATTTTCTTCAAAGTCTATATTCTCTTTAACTCTTACACACCCTGTATTTTTATCTATATCAAAGAGTTCGGTTTCTTTCCCACTTGCTTCACTAAATGAATATATAACCTGTCCATTTTGCCCTTCATCTAAATCGGTAGCATTTAATCGTATTATTGACGTCCCTATTTTAACATTCTCGTACACTTTTGCTTTATATAGAGTTTGATTGAATGCTGGAGGATTGTCATTAATGTCCATAACATTTATTATAATTGTCATACTACCAGAGTTAGCAGGTGTTCCTCCATCCAGAGCAGTTACTATAAACTGAATAAAAGACTCCTTTTCCCTGTCTATCATTTTCTGAAGCACTAGTTCTGGGGTCAGTATATCTCCCTTTTGCGTATCTAGAGAAAAGTATTCATTCTGACCAAGTCTGTAGGCACTAACTGAATTTTTTCCAACGTCTGCATCGTGAGCTGGGCGCAATGGAAATTTAGTGCCAGCTGCTGTACTTTCACTAATGTTGATAAACCGAGAATTGCTGATAAATCTGGGGGAATTATCATTTATGTCTGTAATTGCAACTTCAATGCGGTACAATTTCAAAGGATTGTTAATAACAGCTTCTACAGTTACTGAGCATTTTTCTTCATTGCTGCATAGTTCCTCTCGATCTATTCTCTCATTCACGTAAAGGGCGCCTGTCTTTAGGTTTACCTCAAAATATTTTTTCTTCGACGCTGCAACGATCTGGAACATACGTGTTTCCAATTCCTGGACATTTAGCTTGAGATCTTTGGCAACATTCCCGAAAACAGTCCCTTGTTTAGCCTCCTCCAAAACGGAGTATGAAAGCAGACCCAAAGCTGCTTGCCAGCAGCAACCCAGCAGCACAAAGACGAGGTATATCCACACAGAGCTTGTACTCCCCGTGAAATTCATATTTCCTCAAATCAAAGAAAAAAATATAATTTGTCACGCCACAAAAAAATAAATAAATTGAAAAATAAAAACAGCAAACTATTTAGCAATAAACTGAGATATCAAGTCAGAAGCTTCACTCAGTCGCCCGCTTGTTCTTTCTCAACCCACTTTTCTCTTTGTTTTAAACGTCAGAGAAACCTCCCCACCTCCATCTGACGGGGAGGAGCGCTGACGAATCTTACTGGAAATTCAGATGCAAAGGTCCACAATGTCCTCATGCGGACATAAGTGGGAACTACACCAAATTCCCCATAATACAACACACCAGTCATGTTTTGTTCAAAATTTGTCGGCAAATACAGGTAAAAATGCTTAATTTGGATGTATGCAAACTGTAAAACAATATTTTTGTCATCTTCTTTCCAAATGATGGACCCGTGTTATGCTTCCTGGTTGAAATAAAACAAATAAACAAAAGAAAAGAAACATAAAACAGATAACACTGTTAAAGGGACACAATTTGTAACTGTATTTATCCAAAACAATACATAATTTTCAATTTTACTGAAAATTTCGGAATTTAGTACATATGTAAATGTAACCTTTTAACCGTGGCAGTAACCCAATATAATATCGTAAAAACTATTTGGATCAGTTCAACCGTTATATATTGAGAATTCCTACACTTACATACAATTTCGAATCAGTTAGAATGGGAGTAATATACTTGCAGGTGTGTTCAGTGTGTATAAGACATACCATGAAGAAGCTAAATTATTTGATTAGCTTTATAAACATTTTTACATAATAAACCATTAGAGCAATTCGAGAGAAGTTATGTGTTTAAGAATC